GTTTGCGGCAGGAGGACGACTTGCAAGGATCGGAGGTGCAAGGGGACCACCATCCCCATCCATCCACTGCTCCCCAAGCTAATAACCACTTTTGGGGTGTTGGCCAGACAGATATTACCAAAATAAACGGCTGTGCTGGGTGCAGTTGCAGTTGGATAAGCAAAAACAATGGGGTTACTTACGCAGCTTAGCTCGAATGCACTTTAAATTCACTGAGCTGTCTGCTCTTATTGGAAATCCAGCATTTTGATAAGACACTCTCAACCTGTTCTCACAGTATGAAATTACAAGTGAATTAACAATATGTACTTGCAACATGCAATTACATATTTCCCCAAAAGAAACGTATAAAATTAAACATTTTCAACGCGATTAACGAAACTAGTTTATTGTCCAATTTTCTTATTACCAACTGGCATACAAACTATTTCAATGGGATTTGTTCGACGCTAGGATCCCCCCGAAAAAAGAAAAACAAGAAAAACAAATGTGAAACATCCAATGTGCATGCAAACAGCACATTTTGGTTGCGTTTGCTGGAGCATGCGGTGCCCAAGTTTTCCATCGAACATCTTTAAGCGGCGAAACTTTTCTCATAACATGCGAGTATTCGCACGACACAATGCCAGTGATACACGAACACACACATACACACACTTACACACTCACACACACACACAGAGAGAAACCCTGCGGCAAAATCTTATCAAACTGACATCATTTTCATTATGTTTTGCACTTGCACAGCTTCGACTAATGTTCATGGGTTCGTGTGTGCGTGTGCGTGTGTGTGTATGAGTGTGTGTGCCAGACTGTGGTTGAGTCCTTCTAGCTCCAAGTTCTCAGCCCTGAGATGGTAATATGTCCTTCTGCTTCACATTGTTTCAGCAACACTTGGCGGAAAAGCTATCATCAAAATGATAATTACAATTTTATAATGTAAAAATGATTCGATTCACTTTTAAACAATTTTAATTGAATTTAAAATTTAACGTTTGACTTAGGGATTAAGTTTATTATGCTGTTAAAGTATCTTAAGGCCAGGTTCCTCTCAACAATTTTGAAAAAATGAAATTTTTTTTTTTTTCATAAATTGCTACTATATACTTGTCGAAATAGTATAAAATAAGTCCCGAAGGTCAGCAAGGCCGAGAATTAGGTGTAAAAGAGTGAGGAGCGCTGCTGGTAGTACGGCCGCTCGAACGCCTTAAAAACTTTAAACTGATTTTTCTCCGAACCACGTTTTTTCGCATGGATGACACTCTCATTTCAAAACTATGGCACTTATCGATTTGAACCAAACGGCATTTTACTCTTAATATGTCTGGCTATGGCCGGTACCAGAATCAGAAATATTCATTATTTTTTAAAAAAGTTATAAACAATTATAAGTGAAAAAAAGGGTTCAAAAAATTCAAAAGTCCGCCATTTTTTTATTTTTCATGGAAAATTTTTCATTCTGGTACCGGCCATAGCTACTTCGATGCAGAACACGAAACTATTTTGGTTTTTGCATTCAGATAATTATTTTTCAAGTAATCGTGTCATCCATCTACGAATCGGACGAGTTTCAGCAGCCATTTTCAGGACCGCCATTTTGAAAAAAAAAATTAAAAAATTTTTTTTTAGTAATTTCATATACATACTTTCATATATAAAAAAAATTGAATACTCAACATTTTTTGTTATGAAAATAAAATTAATTGAAAAAAGTACGTTTTTCAGAGGAACCTGGCCTTAAAGAACCTATCGGACATTAAGGTGAGTTCATCATAATCTATAACTGGATTCTCTGACCGATCGTTCGATTTGATCTCTATTGGATTCTCCCCGGTTACCAATAACTAAAAATCGCAAAGAAAATTGGTTGAAGTCATTTTTCTCGGTGTCCAATTGTAGGCAATTCGGAATGGAATTTCCGCACACGCGATACGCATTACGCACACATGTGCACTTCTCCCTGTGTGTGTGTGCGTGTGTGCTAATCTGGCCCGCCAATAACTGCAAATTAGATTAGCGACGCCTCGAGGGTGGATTCGAACCCCCATCGCCCATTCCCCATTCCCAATCTCCTTCCTTCTCCTTCGACAGCTGACCATTCATCCATTTCGACGACTTGCAGCTGGAAATCCAACAACGTTGCCATCGCGTGTTGCTGCGTTGATAAATCTCAACGGGAAAACGACAAGGAAAATCGATGCTCGAAAGCCCACTCCTGGCGATTCGATCCCCCGATGCCAATATATATTACAAGTGGGCGAGCGGCCATTTGTTTGGCATCCCACCATCGCGAGACGAAACTAATAAAAATCATAAAAACTTTTCCGCTTAGCCGTCCCATTAAGGTGCCCGAGGATTGTTATTATTATTATTTGAGTGCTTCTCTGCTGCTCTGTCCTTGGCTCACTTTCACTTTCCCTCGCACTTTCCCGTCGCACTTTCACTCGCACTTTCACCTCCTAACCAAGCGATAATGTTGGCGCACTGAAAATTAACTTAACTACTTACTGAAGGAGGGGCAGCAATTGGGGCAAAAGTTTAGGGACCAACTTGGGGATCGTTTTCACCGGCGAAAACTTGGCGAAAAGTATGCGTCATGTTTACGATTGGCATTTATTTGGAAATATCTTCTTACTTATGTCATACTTTCATATTGTTTTGTTGCTAAAATTATGAGCTCGTCCGAAAGTTCAGGACTACCACTTAAAAGGTAGTTAAACCCAGCAAAAAAGATAATAACTGATGCACTGAACTTCGAATTAGAATTATGAAAACTTCTTTTTAGTTTTGTGAGTTAAGTGAGTTTGCTAAGTAAATAAAACCCTTCTAACAGTGAATACAAATCGAAGTAAGCTAGGTGAAATACCCATTTGTCAACCGAAACTATTGCTAGCTGTCCGTTCTTGCATCGATAACTCACTGTACGGTTTTATTGCCAGTCGCGTTTGAATGGCAAATGGCAAAACTTCCGCTGGCGATGGCGTTGAATGGAACTGCTGACGCCAGCGTCGCCGCCATTCCAATGGACATTGTCCAGTTGCTATAAAGCATATATCCGTATATCCGTATATCCGTAGAGTACTTATTCACCAGGAGTATTCACCAGCGGGTGCAAACGCCCAGTCAGTCACTTATTCGCATCGCTTGCCACAAAAACAGAAAGGGAAAAGAGGCGGTGGTCATATCGCTGTCCGCTAATCGTAAAATAAATTATTTTCCATGTGTTCCCCCGATTCCGAGTCATAATTCTTTCATCACTCCCCCTCCCAAATGGAGCGTAATAGTTTCAGTTAATTGTAAGAGTGAGGAGTGCAGTGACAGAAATATTTTACTTATTTTCTATTTTGGAGGGTACTTAAATATATATAAATTATAGATGGAAAGCAGTAAGTGTTGAAAATAATAAAATAAATAAATAGAAACAAATATTAAGATATTCAAACAACAATAGCTTCATTATTATTTGAGCATCACATATGATAAATATATTTTTTACGTGTATGGATGATCAGATTTTGGGGGGATAAACTTTCCCAGCCGCAACTGGCTGGCTTTAATTGTTACTAGTCGCATTTGGAGCCTGGCCTAATCACTGGGGCCGGATTAGTCAAACTTGCAGCCACTGGACGTTGGTGGTTGGGTGGTTGGGTGGTTGGGTGGTTGGGTGGCTGCCAGGGTGGCTCAGTGGTTGGCTGGCTGGGTGGTTGGGTGGTGTCCAAGTGCTGAAATGTGTAGTGCTTGCCAGCGCTGTCAGTCATAATTAACACTCAGCTGCAGCTTCGGCTTTTGGGTTCAGCGTCGGCTTCAGCTTTGCAGTTCGAGTTCGAGTTTGGAGTTTGAGTTGGGGAGCAAAATAATATGAAACCGAAATGGATGTGAAACAAAAGTTCGCCTCGTTCCGACTGCTCAAAGTTGCTAATCAAGCTTGACAGCAGCTAAAAGGGGAAATGTGTGTGGATGGATGTGCTGATTGGGTTCTAGCAAACGCCAGTCATGTTCAGATGCACTGCGAAATATCATCAGTTTGATAACAAAGCATGTTTATTCTAACCTTCTTGTATACAAAAAATCATGGCCTTTTCTCGCTGTGTATCTCGCACCTGCTGCTGATAGCTTTCACCGCATCTGTGACTGTGTAATTAGGAGTGCATCGCACTTTGAGATACGTAGCGCCAGCTGAAAGGGGATTTCGCGAATGCGAATGCGAATGCCAAACTGATTAGCCACCCCTCGCGGACAGATAACTGCGTTCGCAGCCATGGAGATTTTAATCGAGTTGCGGTTATTGTGTTATGTCTTGCCCAACCAACCAGCCAGCCAGCAATCTATCCAGCCATCCATCCATCCATCCTCTACTTAAAAACTCTCTGCTATCTAAAAATTCACTGCGACACGTGCCAGACACAACAACAATAACAACAATAACAACAAATTTCAGGCAACAATGATGCGGAGGTCCTTCGTCCTTCGTCCTTCGTCGTCGGATGCCATGCAAATTTGAAGCGCCTGTCGCAGTTCCTTTCTTTTGTGTCTATGGCGTCATCGGCTCGACTTGGAATCCCCGCATTTGTACTTGATTACCCCATACACACTTTTCCACACAGCATCGGCATCGGCATCGGCATCGCAAACATCCGCATTCGCATCCGCATCCGCAGCAGTAGCAGTAGCAACTTTAACTGAAAATCGATATTCAGACTGTCTGCCAGTCGGCTGCCCCCCGCCAACAATTGTCTTGGCCTTCGACCCCTGACTAACTGACTGTCTCGACGAAAGCAAACGAAAAAGCAACGCAATCCCCAATGTCGGTGGTTGCGACTTAAAGATACTTCCCTAATGTATATATTTCTTGCGATTCCGCGAAAAACTTTCATGTCTGCATTAATTATACAAATGTATTTCCATTTAAGAGTCAAGTAAATCACTAGTTAGGTTTCACTTTCGTTCATGATTATTCTAAAAATCGAATCGAATGGAAGCAGCTGCTTCATGTGTCAAATCATTTTGGAATCTGAGACTGTAATCAGGACTTGGTCCGACCGAGTACTTAATAACCCAGGATGTTGCACAGCAGCTACAACCGGGCGCCGCGTCGCAAGCTCATCCCGAACCTGTTCAGCAGCATCCTGCAGGTGATCGCGGATGCGGACCATCCGCTGACCGAACCGGAGATCATGGAGGCGCTCGCCGATCGCCTGGACCGCAGCGACGAGGAGCTCAAGCGGCAGATCATCGTGAGCCTTCACGACGCCTTAATCTACGGCTATCTGCGGGTGAAGAACTATCGCTACTCCATAGTTCCCAGTCGCCTGGACCCCGACGACTATTCCCACCAGCATCCGGATCATCATCGCTCCTCGATCGCCGCCACCGCGGAGCACATTCGAGTCCAGGACCGAATCTCGAGCGAACCCAGCTCCACCATAGATCACAATCGGCCTGGAGGTCAAGAGCACACCACCTCCATCACCGAACAGAAGGTCAAAAGGGGAACTCAAACTGCTGAGCCGGAGAAGCAAGCAAACTGATACGACAAATTTTCAACCCATCACATAACCAACCCAAATAAATTACAAATGTAATAGCACTACTCATTGCACTCAACTTAAACCTATCGCTTTAAAGTGTGCTTTAAACACGAAGGTAAGGAAGTAAAACATCGACGGTTCGCCTTCACCGACTTTAAATGACACCGTAATCAGAGCGATTCAGTTTTCTGTAGAGAATAATTCCCCCAAGTAATCCCCAATTAGTTTCCCAGCTCCTATGGCAACCCACTTCACTGCCTGAGCGGGCAGTTAAGCACACAAACGACTGGACGACTGGACAAAAGGACGAAACGACGAAACGACGAAAGGACGACAGGACGGTGCAATGCAGTGTGGCGTGGTCCGTAAAGTCCACTCCTCCTCCTCCTTCAAGCTGATCGACGTGCGGCGAACGGAACGGCGAAGCCCCGGATCCCGGCCGTCTTTCTTGTGTGTGTCAACTGCATTGGGACCTCCCCAGGTCCTTGGGTCCTCGGGTCCTCTACTCCTCCACTCCTCGGACTCCTTTTACTCCTCGCCAGCACTAAACGGGCTAATTGAAATGCAACTCGAAGGCAGAATGCCCGATGAACAGCCCAATCCCCTCTGAGGTGTGAGATGCTGGCATATGAGAGCCTTGAGCTTGCGGTCATATCAACAAGGATACGTTGACTAAGGCGGGCGACCTCAATCGCGTCCTTTGTGTTTGATGTGGTGTCAGCTTCGGGCGCAAATCATCGCCCCACTTCGTCCCTTTACCAGCTATACCTGCTATATAAGTTCGGTTGGTTATATACGGTTCAGTGGGGTCCGGTTAGCGTTGACTTGTTAATTACTATAATCCATAATTACTATAATTAATGTAGTCGACTTACAATTTTTCTCCTATAATGCCAGACAAGAACATCTACTTTACCTATTTAGTATTATATATCTATGATTATTTTAAACACTTTAAACTGGAAGGTCAGAAATACAAGAGCAAGTTTCTTGGGTGCTTTAAGCAGCCCCATTGTTTGAGTTCACTGATTGTTGCGACACCAACTGGCATTTAAGGGTTCCAAACAGGATGTGGCCACGCTCCTCCTCCCCTCGTTCCCTCCTTCAAGGGGGGGCGGAAGTCACTGCGCTTTGGGTTTAGTCACGCTTATGTCCTTGGCCATGCGAAGCGTTCATGCAGACCCCCTGCCTCTCATGTGTGATAATACCTGTTTGGGAGTCCAGGAGCGCCGAGGTCCTAGGTTCCCAGCACCGAGTGCGTTGTTTTCACGCCCGTTGAATGGGGAAAGCGAGCGTAAGGAGAGCACATTACAATGATGCAGCATCCACAGCAGCAGCCACAACACCGTACCACCACCTCATGAAATCCAAACTCCCAACTCCCCTTGGGCAACTCATTTAGTCATTTGTATGTGGATGTGTGTGTGTGTGTGTGTTTGTGTGTAGAGTTTAGTCCAGTCAACTGGCTTTACTTAGCTAAATGAGATTTTGCGGTGTGTAATTTGAAAATTGTGAAATTGCCCAACACTGCGTGGAGATGTCGAGAATTGACGGGGAAGTGACGTTGCACATTAACACCCAACGACATCCAAACTGGTTATTTATCGAGGGTCGCTCACTAATGTCAGATTATCCCTTCTCAGCCCCCCAAGCACTTCAAATTAGTGCGATCCAATTGGCAGACGACCACCACCGGGGAAAACCGAGAAGAAAAAGCAAAAGAAAGAAAAAGAAGGGAAAACCCCTTGAGCGAGTTCGCCCATAATTCAAGAACGAAATCCAATTCTTGTGATTTTTCGCACCTCATCACAAAGGGGCGCCGTCCTTTTTCAGTTGTTGATATCGCATAACTTTCGGACCTCGGCGGCATATTGTTTTACATGCCTTTATTTATTATTATTTTTTTTGTGATAAACGGATTAAGCTTGTTTTTGGCCAGCGGCAAAGTTATCCTTTTTGGGTTGAAAGCGACCCAACCGAAAAACCTCTGGTCCCAAAATTGTTATGCCCTTCGGTTGTTGAGGTTTTCTTTTTATTTATGTACTGTAAATATTGAGAGGCTGTATTTTCCACGCCACGAGAGACATTTGGCTGCCCTTTTCGGGTCGAAAGAACAAAATTTTTGGCTTTGGGAGCCTAATTTAAATACGGGAACAGCCTTGTACGATACTTGTAAGCTATACACTTTAAATCTGTTAAATTGTAAACACAAATTTATTAACTGAGATATGTTTCATAAGAGAGCACAGACCTAGCGAGGTCCAAGAGTATTTAAGATGTATTTAAGAAGAGTTCTTATTTAGCACAAAAACCGAGCTAACTGGGCCTCAGCATTCAGGCAACGTTTTTCGATTTAGCTTCACTTCACTTAGAAATATATACATAACACATACACCCTTTATTCGATCGACAAAATTTCCTTTTCGGCAGCATAGATAAAAACTGTTGTAAATTAACGTATCTGTACCGTGTTCTTCTGTAGGGTTATTGGTCTGCCAATTTCCCGCTTTTCCTCCAGACCGAATCAATCGTATCACAAGTCAACCGCAGAGAAGCCCAAAAAAAAAAGCCGATACCATAAAACGAAAGAATAAAGAAGGAAGCCATCATAAAGCCCCGAGCCGAAATTAACAAAGCGCCGTCCAGTTGAACACAAGATCACCCAAAAAAATATCTCGTCGAATCACCACGCTTCTGAGAAACAATAAATTGTACAATTTAAAACTGGCAGAGGACGAGCAATGGAGGATTTGCATTTGAAACTCGGCGAGTTGCCCCCAAAGCACGCTGGCCGCGTGTCACAGCTTATTATTGGGAGCCCAGCAGCCGCACCACCACCACCACCTGAACCACCTTCAGTTGAACCAGCAGCTCAGCCAGTTGAACCAACTGAGCCAACTGACCCAGCTGCACCACCGCCTGCAGCAGCAGCTGAATCTCTCCTCGGGACTGAATCTCAATCTGGGGTTTGTGCCGAAGTTGGCGGCGGGTGGCAGCCATCAGATGCAGCACCTGTCCCACCGCATGCAAATGGGACTGGGACTGGATCTGGATTTGGATCTGTCGATGAACCTGGACCTCAATCTGAATCTGGAGGGCAGCAGCAGCAATGCCAGCAATGCGAGCAGCGCGTCCAAGGTCAACGAACTGCGGCAAGGACATGGATCTGGAATGGGATCTGGGTTGAATGGGCTCAAGGGAGCCCAGCCCCAAGTCCACTATGCCCATGACCCTGCCCAGGATAATGGTGACTCGCTGAGCGTCAGGGGTCGCTGTGGCAGCCCCAAGAACAAGGAATCGGAGGCCAAAACTGAGGGGGACTCGCTCGCCGCGTCGAACGACAACGACAAATCCTTGCCGGGAGGAAGCGACAAGGAGATCGCTGTCAAGCTTTCGGCTTCCACTCTACTAAAGGCGGCCAACTCGAAGCTGAATGCCTTTGCCACGCCCTACACGATGCGCAGCAAGGGCCAGATCCTCGACAGTGAGGCACCCGTGTCGAAGTCCAGTCACTCCGAGGATTTCCGTGTGAATGCTAGAGCTGCCGAGTTCAAGCCGTCGTTGCTGAGTGTCGGTGGTTTACTGAATCTGCCGGGGGTGTGCGAAACCCTGCTTCCGGTGGCTTCGCAGCCGCTCCTGCCGACACCGTACCCACTCAACCACCTGCTGCTCGACCAGGCTCATCAGTCGGTGCAGCGTTCTGGCGTTAAGCAAAACAGCCGCTGGCGAAAGCAGCCGCTGCCGGATTTGTTGAGCGCCGTTCTGGAACTGGTGAAGGAACTGTCGCGATCCGTCAGCTATCCGGAGATCATCAACGTTCTGGCGTTGCGACTGCGTCGACCGGAGGTGGAATTGAAGCGCCACATGCCGCACATACTGCACGACGCCGTGATCAATGGCTACCTGAAGAAGGAGGGCAATCGGTATACGCTCGTCTCCGAGGCGGAGCAGAAGGAGATCATGCGGCGCAACCAGGAGGCGGCCAAGCGGGCCAAGGAGCTGGAGAAGGAGCCGTTGTCCTGGCGCAAGCGCTAGTCCCTCTACAAACAGTTTTTATTGGACAGGATGCGGATACCCGTGCATCAACATTCTACATCCTGCATTTGCATTCCGCATTCAGCATTCAGCAATCAGCAATCCGCATCCTGCATCTGCATCCTGCACTCGCACAATTATCACATTTTGCATCTTTGGCTTCATAACCTTTTTATAATTGAGCTAAGCACAGCACTCGCGGCTGGAGGAGGAGCACTGTGGTCCTGTGAGCCTGTGAGTGACACGAAACCCGAGAGCCCCGAGTCCTGTGCCGCCTGCGACGAGCCCTGCAATAATAGTTTTACTTAACGTGAACGACCCGTGCCATCTTCGAATATTGCGTGAACGATACGTGATCCGTGATTCGAGTTCTGAGATCCGTAAATACAGTCACGATGACAACATATGCATGTATATATCAAATATATATATATATATATATTTAGATCGACCCAATGGGGCCGGCCTTTTGCCGAGCTGCTGCCTTCAGAGGATATTTCGTTGCCTGCTGTTCCCTTTTGCGTTTCAAAACAAAATGACACACGGAATCGAGTGTTCCTGGTTAAGCGCTTTATATTTGCATGCTATTCGGGTAAATAAAATTGTAGTTATTTCTTAATCTGGGTTTGATGGGTGGGCAAAAGGCAGCTTTAATTACTTTTAAAAGCATCAAATCATTTCTAGTTTGGCCACTTTGTATTTGATCCCTTTCATGACCCAACGCTTGATTTCCATTGGAACTGCGCTGGCTGGCCATTAAATTTTTGCATTCAACTTTGTGTTTATCAATTTAAGCATCCATCTTTCCACCCAGTCGGTGGTGCAACCAGCCAACCATCTCTGTCAGTCGCTCATCCATTCAGTCGGTCGGTCGGCGGTTGGTCGGATCTGTTCAGTTAACTAGCCATTGTGTGCAGAGTGGCGAATATCTAGAGCTCATCATGATTGTTTTGTAATTGGAATGCGACAATGCGAGGCCAGCGGGGATGGGGATGGGGTCGGGGGATGTGGTGTGGATGCGGGATGGCATCTCCCAGAATGCAAGGACAATAACAACAGCACAACAGCCAGGCAAGGATAAAAAGGAAGTGGGCGGGCGGAGGATGGCGACGCCGACGACGACGACGACGAGTGAATGCCAACTCAACTAACAATTTGCTTCAATTATAAAAAGCGTCGCGACAAAGTGGCGCCAAGCTAGCAACGAATGGGTGGTGCGAGTGGTTGGGTGGGTGGCTGCAATGGGAAGCTGCTGTTGCTCTGGATAATGCTGTGAATGTTGCTGTTGCTCTGCTGCTGCTGCTGCTGCCGCTGCTGATGAAATGGGTAAACAGTGGACAGAGTGGCCCGGGGGCACGGCCTGGTAATCAGCATGGCGACGCACTGCTCCTTTGAGCCCTGCTAACTGCCTCCTTCTCTCCTAAAAGCAGCACAGCAGTGATGGCAACTAAGATCACGAAAACATCTCATTTGAGATTCCTTAATACTCTTACCGAAAAAATGGTTAAAAGTGAAAACTAGGTTATAATAATTTTGTTTTCACTACATATTTTTGAAAAATATGGAGAGTACCATGCCTTTTCAATATCCCACAGCATAACATTGTTAATTCATTTAGCTACAAAATAGTCAAGTGGACAATTTGCCACTGCGAAGTGAGGAGGAGCAGAGTTAACGACTCTGTGACGCAAATGGCCTCGACCGAAATGAAAGTGGAACTGCAACTGGAGCACCGAGGGTCTCCGCTGGCGTCAAACCCAAACCGCTTCGGTCTTTGTCTGCCGCATATATATGGTCATCAACTTATTTGCATTCTGCAGCTCGGGGCCCTTTCATAATTGTATTTTGTTGCCGCCAGTCAGCCAGTCAGCCAGTCAGTCAGTCAGGAATCAGGCACTTCGATATGCCAGGGTCCTGTCCAAAGTTTGTCGCTCAAACGCCATTGCCACCGACCCGAACCTGTTGACTCCGACTCTTCCAACTGGAGGAGCAGAGCAGAAGGCCAGGCGGATGACTACCAGGAACTTAGCTTGGTGATGATTTACTGAGCTCGTGTGTTTCATAAATATCTCTTTTCAACGGCAGCTCAGGAATCCCGGTGTCCATTGTCCTTCTGCTCAACTGCAATTTTGCACTGTGAGAAAGTAGCAGGCGACTATTATCATTGCATCACTATTATATTTTAAAACCAATCTATACCTTGGGAAGTACTCTGTTTGGTGAAAGGTTTTGTCTTTAATTTTCCGACATTTTGGATAATTTTTTAAAGTGCAGAAAAGAACTAAACTGGGGAGTAACCAAAGGAAGGTGGGCGGTGAAAGGGATTGGGGATATAAGGAGTCAAATGATTCTGTAGAAAGAACATGCTTACGTTTTGCTTTCTAGTTTTACTTCCCTGCAGTAGGGTTTTGTGGCGTGGCAACGGAAACTGATATAAATATAAAACAACTTCTTATCAAAACAAAGAGTCACAATAAAAATAATATTGTAATTAATTATAATAAAACAGGCAATTAAATTAGGTAATAAACTAAACTGAATGCGGGTTAGACCACCGAAAATGAAACCAGCAATATTTCCTTCTATTGGAATGACCACCCAATTAGCGGATTAACCTCGTTGCCACACCCATGAACACCTATACAATCAGCAATAATAACAATCATTTAATTTCAGGTTAATTGCAGACACTTTGGTTTGTGTTGGGCCATAAATTGTGTGCATTCGTCGGCCTCTGCCTGGTGTTTGTGTAATTTATTCGCATATTTCAGTGGAGCGTGGAGTGACAGGCTGAAATTATGCTACAAAATGCCAGGAATGCCTACCCCCGGTAAAGTTATCGTGGGGTGGCATTGCTGGGTGTTGGGTGTGTGCATAGGTAGATGGGTGGGTGGGTGTAATAAATGTAGCCCAAGTCAAGACAGAAACTGGGCGAACTGGGCAGACATCCAGCAGGGGCACACAAAAACTCTGGGGCTGCTAAACGCATTTACGTGTCAGAACTAATTTAATGTGACGCCCCCGGGTGGACTGAACAGACTGAAATGGAACGGAACGAAGTGGAATGGAATGGACCGAGCTGAACTGAACTGAACTGGACGGGGGGCTCCGGAAAACGGAAACGGAAACGCATACGCAGCGAGCCAGTAGAGTCTGACCATATTTTGCTTATTTATTTGCCTTGCAGTAATGCCCGAACACCACAGTACAGCCCTTCACAGTCGCCCTCGCACATTTCTCACCTAATAAAATTACAATGGCCACACACCCCCCGCAATGCAGGCGGCGTCACCACCCCCTCACATGTTGCTCGTGCCCCGTTGTCCTTTTTGCTCCTTTTTGATGTAAATTTAATTTCGGTTTTCACATTTTGAGGTTTTCATAGCCACATGCTGGCGTAGGGTGGTGCTGCACAGAGAGAAAAAGTGCTACACATATTTTCTGTTTGAAGTTATTGTCGGACAAATAAATACTCCTTCACTTTTCGCTTTAGTTTTTCGGGTAGCTATTTAATGCTCAATGAATAGGATTCAAAAATTTTAGAATAAAGGTTTTTTAGAGTTTTTTCTATAAGTGTGCCCCGTAGTCCTGTGCTGAGGGTCCCCTGTCCTGGGTTCTGGGTCCTGAACTCGAAGTGAGTGTCCGTGTCCGGATCCTGTCCTCCCAATTCCGCATCCCCCCTCGTGTGTCGTTTTCCTCGGGGATTCGAGGCAGCATATTCAGCTGCCGTAATGCTTCTTTCATCGCCGCTTCCTTCCTTTCCTTTCACCCCATCTCGTCGTGCTCCTCTGCTCCTGCTGCTCTTGCTCCTCCCGCTGCTCCTGCTCCTTCTGCTGCTGTTCTTTTCCTTTGCCCTGTCACTCTGTCATCAGCGTCGCATATTGTTCGCCTTTTGTCCACCAACTGGTTGGTGGATGGAGGTGGCAAAGTCGCTCCGCGCCCCATATGAATATGTCAACTCGATTCCCTGGCGTGTGCTCTGAATCGAGTTCCTGGCTTTTTTTTTTTTTTTGCTTTGCCACTTTTTTTCCTTCATTTTTGTTTTGCCGCACTTGTTTCCGCGGCAGCATTGCCCGCCCGGCTGAACTGCGATTTCAATTAAAGCCGCCAAACCGATGCAATTCCAATCTGGTTTTGGGGCTTATGCGGGTCGCTAATCGAATAATCCGCAAAACTCCCTTGATTCGTGCGGTCTAGTTTGTTACCCAAGAAAAAATCTATTTCTGACATAACAAGAAAACTAATGGTCAAAATATGGAGCCAAAAATGGTCGCTAAACTCGTAATTGAATTTTTAATCTATTGGCATTAAAGTTGTGACTTTATTAGAAATGTTAAAATTTAAAAAAGAATTTTTTTATTTTGAAAATAAATAAGGTTTTTGGCTTTGGTTATCAGCTTTTTTCAATAAGTAATTATTTTAGCCTTGTAACCCCTTTTTGATTAAGATACAAAAATATTTCTTCAGAAGAACCGGAGTCAATGTGGGTAAGTTAATGTCCAAATAGTCGTAACTCTCGGAGGGGGGAGAAAAATAGAAACAAAAAATTGAAATGATATGGCAGGTTCAGTGACCAAAACAGGAAGCCATTCGCACATTGGTGTCCTTTTGGAAAAACGTTCCCTCGGAGGGGCGATGGAGAACAAAGTGAACAAAGCCGAAACAAAGTCAGTCACTCGACACATGCCTTAATTGCAGGACCCCATTGCAGGATCCCCAGCCTGATCCCGAGCCAAATCCCGGGCTCCCGACTCCGACGACTCCGACTCCGACTCCGACTGTGACTGTGAAAAAGCGCCAAGTGCACTCGAGGTAATTTGATTTAATTGTGCGTGCCTGCCAGCAGCAACAACAAAAGCACTCAGCCAACTTGCACTTGCAACAACTTGGCAACTTTGCTCATATGTTTTTTTGGCCGCTTCTTGCAATGCCCTTACAAAAGGCAACCTTTTTCGAATTTGAATTCACGTTGTGTTTATTTCTGCATACATTTGTTCGCTAAGTTTTGTTTAAGTTCTTGTTCAAGTCCACTAATCAACTGTTCTCCTATTTCAGCAACCAATTAATTTGAACCTACTACATATATCTACATATCTATCTCTGTAGTGAGCAAATAACTTTAAAAAAAAGTGTAAGCGTATTCTGAAAGTCTGTCTTTGAGTTGAACCCTTTCTTCTTTGTATCTTCGTTTATGTCCTGGCGCTCATAAGAAATTTACAAGAACCTAGTGTGCTGGCTCCTTTTCCTGGATAGTGGCTCCCAGGTTAGAGGTTTCGAGTCCAAGTCTGAAGCTCTTGAACTCCGTTCGGCCTGACGTCCCGAAGCCACTTGAACTTGCAACTGGCAACTGCTTCAAGTGGCAAGTGTTGGTCCGCCTGTTGTTGTTTGTTCGCCCTGGTTGCCACCGTTGTCGGTGTTTATTAACTACGGCAGTGTGTCCTTATTTTTTTTTTCTGGGTAGTTGCGACTGGTTTCTGAGCTTCTGCATAAATCATCAACGCAATGACCTTTCATGCATAATTTATTTACCTTTTCAGGATGCCCCCAACTGTCTCTGTCTGCGGTTTCGCTTTTTCCTCTCTTTTTTGTGTTTGCCTGTTGGCTGTTGGGTTTTAGAGCTGAGCAAATTTATGGCTGACGAGCATTTCCGCTTCCGTTTGCAATTACACCAGCGGCTAAAATAATAACGGGCAGCCTCATCAAGAAGTCGGCCGCAGAATCAATTATTCCCATTCGAACGGCGCCGTGAATTTGTGATTCAAAGAGAATTGATGTTGTAATTCAATGGCTTTAAGAATTCCGAGTGTTTTGTTCTCTTGACAAACAATACATTTTCAGCACTTATTTACCAATTTCGCATCCGCTTCGCAGTCATTTTGCAACGAATTCAAAACATGTTTAAAATCCATGAAACACATTTAATCAAATCATTTCGATTGAACCCAATCACTACTGCTGAGCAATTGAAAAGCTACAAATAACACACTCACACAACTCGATTGGCGTGCATAAATATTCATAATTTATAGTTCATAATGGCATTTGCATAGGAGACCAAAAAGATTCTGGCTCCAGGGGAAAAGCGAACTCGGTTAATGCAACAAAAATCAGCTCAAAAATGAAGCACAATCCCTTCTTCCCGCCCACCTGTAAATTTTGTTTGATTTTTACCGCTTAATTTATGATTTAATTGCATATTTGGCGGTGCAATGCAAATATCCATCGGCGGTTCAGAGCAACCCCACCGAAATGTGGTTACTGTTAAATGCAATGCATTTCATTTAGATAAACCGCAAATATTTGCTACAAAACGCATTTGCCACCAGAGGGCCAATCTGGCGTGATAAAATTGCTGCCTCATCCCTTCTTCTCGACTGCCACATTCGAAATATTAGTGCACCTGAACGATGGCGGAAATTAAATATATAAAATACAAACTATAGCCTTGTAAAAATCATAATTCACACAAAAATGCAAGCTGGGTAACTAAATAAAACCAAAATTATTAGAGTTCCAGGTTTATTAACACGTTTCGGCTTCGATTCCAGTGGTTTCAGTCCAGAGCTGAGTTATTGGATTCCCATTTAGTGTGACGGGCTACCCAGCGTGGCCATCAGCTCGCCCAGGCGTCGGGAGCGGAGTGAGAAGAGGTTCCTTTGTCGCTTCAAGATGCCGTATTCGACGCCATCGCGCAGATTGAGCTGCACTTGGCGGTAGAACTCGGGATCGTTGCGGCGGTACTGGATCGCCAGTGCGGAGAGCAACTCGGAGTCGGTCATGGGTCGATGGTTCTCCTCCAGGACGTGGAGTATCGATCGCAGCAGGTTCGGCACCAGACGCCTTTGTTGCGGTAATGAGCGTGTCTTATAGGTGACCGGCATGGTTGTGGCGATCACACGACGAATCCCTGAAGCATACCCAAACCTCCTATTTTTTTGTTGTTTTTCCTTTTCTATGGGAAACCAAATGAAAAAGTGTAGAAAAATTTTGAACAGAGTGTAGAAACGAAGGCTCAACTGCCTATGACAATTCAAGCAGGGCTAACTTTCTAAAACCGATAGGTTGCTATGCCAGGCTGCTTGATAGCTCCTTGGCTCTCTGGCTTTTCTACTCGTACTTTCTTCCTTCCTGCCGGTGTGCTTTGCCAGCAGATTCGCTTCCTCATGGCCAATTAATCAGGAGGCGGTTGTGGCGGGTTGAACTTAAATGACCTCGAGGCATAAAAACGAAAACTGCGACAACAAAGGCAACAGAAAGCAAAGCAACAAAGAGCAGGAAAACACAGCACCCAGAAAAATATTGCCCACAAAAGTAAATCCGAATTTATACAATAAAAAAATAAAATTATCTAGGAAGTCCTAAATTGCTTTGAGAAGTTAATAAGATATGCATTTATATATGTTCATGAAAAAAACTTTAACGCAGGAAGGTTTATTTTTATACCCGTTACAATAATTAGAATTCCCAAGTGGTTCTAGTTCTCTAAATGTAGAACTCTTTGGGTATACAATACATTTTGCGAGTGTACTCAGGAAGCTGGCACACCAGCGAAGGGCCCACAAACATCAAGTGACATTCGAGCAGAGACAAAAAGTCATTATCACGGCGACGTCGGGCCGCTCTCATCTCCAGTGTGCCGCGGATTCCCCTGATTCCCCCCGATTCCTTCACAATTCGCATTCGCCTCATGTGCAGCATATGGAGCACGTGGTTTGGAGTCATAGTCATCGTTATAGCCATCGCCATAGTCGCCGTCGACTTTGTCGCCATGTTTTTTGCCTTTTCCGGCATTTTGTTTACGATTCCTTTTTGTTTTTGTAAGCGTACCTGGTATTCGTAGATGTTGCGGGTATGCTGGCTTTCTAGTGAACCATGGGACAAATTATCAATACTCTAGGATTTCCCTACCACCGATTAGGAAATTTTCTTGGGTCAGAATAGTTAATACCTCCCTTTTCAAAAAAGGAATACAAAATATTCCAGTCTGTGTTTTGTATTACAACTTTCATGGAAAGCTTTTACCTTTCTTTATTACCAGATATTGTCAGGGTCCAAACACAAGAGAAAACCTTCCTATTTGCTTTATTTTGCGCAACGTTTTCTGCGCTCCCCAGCGTACGCGGATTTCCTTTCGAGATGGAGTTGGCAGACGGCAGTTTTTCCTGAATGATTTTCACTTGCTTGTTCTTGTTGTGTCCTCGTTGGCTGCTTTGTTCGCCTGTCCCCGGAGAAGGCCGACCGACCCTGTTTTGTGGAGCTCCATCCAGCGTACCCCGGTTGTATACATGTAGCTCGCCCCATTATTTTATAGTCCCCCTTCGTCATCGGGAGCAGCCGCCAAGTGCAATTGTCATAAAGTGTCATTGGCTGACGTCGCGTTCTTTGTGCAGTTGTTGGTGCGGTGAATCAACTTAAATGAGTATCCGCTTTGTAACTACAAGTGCGTGGCTTCGTTTTGTTTCCTTTTAGCCAAGAACATCTCGGCGGCCGGCAGAAGTGAAAGAAAGAGTGAGCTGGAGGCCGGCCAATTGCCTTTGTGTGCGATTTAGCTTTGTTTTGGGACCCCAGGTCTAGGTCTAGGATGAACGATGAACGAAGAAGGATTCAGGTTTCAGGACTCAGGCTTCACGATGCAGAATGCCGAACGTAACTCGAAGGGGATGGGGCAGCTCGTCACATTTCAGTGAAAGGAATTGAGGAAGAGAAGCCCCCTAAACGAAGCTGAAAACCTTAACTAGTTGGACTAAACCTCTTATAAGCAGAGGTATTTACAACTGCTAAATTGTATCGAAACAATGGCGGTTTATAATTTAAACCTTGTTGTATTATATCTAAATTGAACTGTCTATTACTCAGCTATGAAGTCATTTCAATGTGCATATTTGCTAATCGGTGTCTTAGACCTCAAGCCCCGTTCCCTCCGACACTTTTTGTTTCGCCCCTTTGCAACTTTCCGAAAACAAGCACAACTGTACTTTTGGCATCTATGCAAAGGCGTGGGACAACGGATGGAAAAGTGATTTATGTACCAACACTGTCGCATCGCGGGGGAGTTTAGAGGTCGGGAGGTTGGGAAACGGCTGGGAAACCGAAGACGAGATGGCTCCACTGTCCTTAAGCGGCTTACGGAACTGCATGGAGCGAATTATGCAGCATCGCCGCAGGACTCTCCGTGGCGTTCCCACTCCTGGCAGACGGCCAGTCGCCAGTCGCCAGAGTTCCAAGCGATCCGATCCGATTTGGGCCTCTGCGAATCGGGCACAACGAACTTGGCCAACTGGCACTCGGCCAATGAAGCCCCCATTGAAAGTGACAGCGCGACAGGTAGCGAATGTGTGAAGTCTGAGGGGGGGAAAAACGAAATCGAAAAATACCTACAAAACACTGCTGAAGGTACAACATTTTCGTATTCCCCGTGGGAGCAGCCCACGGATCCATGGACCCAGGGATATTTTTCGCGAATTGAATATGCCCCGCCGACAGAAACAGAGAAACAATTATAAGAGGGGTTACGGCTCCAAAAACAGCTCAAACACATAAATGCCAGAAATGATAAATTGCCGCTTGACGGGAATGCAAGAATGCCAGCGAAAACGGACTCGCGATGGGGGATTAAGCAGCCAGATAGGACTGCCCTGGGGGAATGGGATCTACACGGCAAAAAAAAAGAGGGAAAACTTTAAAATTGAGTTTCTAAAATCTGACTCAAAGGGGTTGCAGAAACAGATCCCAATTTTAGGTCCGATTATTGAAATAAATTCATAGTTTATTTTTTATTTTTAAATAAATGTTTGTATACTTTTTTCTTCTGTGTAGTAGTAGGTACTAGGGTTAGATTCGTTGCTTGTGGGCTTGGGGGGACAGACAACGGACGACATTGAGCAATTGCCGAGCATAAATATTGCGACAGTCACTCACACATGCACACCGAACAGCGAGCACACACACACACACATATGCGACAACCACCTGTCAGGATGGGCAAAACATAAACAAGCAGCGCAAATCAAAACAACCAGCGGCGCCTCGAGAAAAACTCCGTCGCAAAAAAAAAAAAAAAAAAGCCGAAAACATGTTGCCAGGATGAGTGAGGCCAAAAACATGCGCACTCGGCCATCAACATGTTGCCCACTCCGAAAAGAATCGCAACATTTCGAGGTTGCGAAAGGACAAGTGCCAAAATTCAAACAGTTGCACTTGCGTAGAAGAAAATTTATTAGCAATCTTTGGAATGAAAACATGTACATTTTCTTATACCAAAAGTATTTTTTTACTATTTAATCTATACATATTTATTAGTTCTATGTACAAAAACAGTATATTTATAATATCTGGATCAGGACATTCACAAATGAATTGTAGCTTCGAAACCCTCTTTAAATTTAGATTTATTTTATTTATATATCTTTTTGTCAGAGTAAATATTATAAACAGCAGCAAAACCATGTTATTTAATTACAGAATGGCCAAATCGAAGCGGATTCTGTGTTGGGATTAGCACAAGTCATTCCCAATGAGGATAGCCACCGCTTGGCCATATAATTACTGTGCAATTCCATATTAATGAGTTGCCACTTTAATCCTCGCTACATGAATGCGTTTGCATTATGCATGAAAAACACAAAAAAGTTTTGCCACCGCGTAGTCCTGTTTGTTTATACATATATACATACATAAATGTATATACCTATATGTGAGATAGCTTTTTTTATGTGACCGACCGCTTGTGGGGTTGAATGAAATTGCCGGGCAAAAAGAGTGTTTAATTAGCATATGGCGGCAATTAATTAATTTGCAACGCGGCCAGGCCAGCACGCCATCAAGTGCCCCAAACACACACGCCGCCCCGCCCATCCTCTTATGTAATTTTCATATTAAATCAAAGATTATTCTATAATTAAATGTGCGTACGGTACGTACTATATATACACACAAAAAGCGAATCGAGACGGGAGGAGAGAGAAAAGCCTTTAATTTCATGCCAGCCAACTGGAGATGTCAGGGAACCGGGCATTTGCAACTTACAACTGATTGAATAAATAAAACTCGAGAATCGCAAACTGATGAGTGCCATTCAGCGCCGACGATTGGTTAATTGTTGTCTCGATGAAAAATGAAATTAATGAGCCAAAAGAGCTGTTGGCAGTTTTATTTGGCCAGAAATTGGACATGGGATATATAGTATGATTTTTTCGCCGTTTGCTGCTGTTTGGCTTTTTGGCCACCGCAAAGCTGTTGACAGCATAATCGACTTGCACTTAAAAGCGGCAGCGATTGTGTTAATTGGATGACACATTAAGCATTGGCCGATGAACCAGATATCTTTTTTCCAGATTCATCAAACCAATCGGACTTCATTGGCCTGGAAATGCCTTAATTGATTGCAATGGGCATACAAAAATATAGTTTCCGCTTTATTTATTTTTGTTTTTAACTAATACTGTGCCACTGATGGACTATACTCGTACCAAAAGTTATTGTTTAAAGCTAGAAAATGTTGTATTCATTTTTAAAGCAACTTTAAATAAACTTCCTGCGACACATACAATCCCTATCATTATTCATGCTCTTCCACGATGTTGACTTTATAATTTGCCTGCAATCAAAATTTGTTTCGGTAGAAAATTAGTCGGCTTTGTCTGCTGAGGCATCTGGATAACAGAATTTGGCTTGCAAGTCATTACAAGTTCATTGACATGTCATCCATCTCAATTTGGCGCAAGTGAGATGGCAGAGGAATGAAAGAGAGGGTGAGTTGTGTCCCAGTCTTGATGTCACATCCCCAACCCAACCTTCCCATTGGACTCCCCCCTGTTGCTTTTGACCGAAATGACACACTTTACGAGCGCTTGCCTCATTTTAATGCAAATCAATAAATTTATATACAACAAACATTCGAATTGCCAGCACAGCTGTGCAGCGTTTGGATCTTTCGTAGGGGTTTGGTTACAGGTTCTGAGTTTTAAGTGCAGTGAAAAAAATCAGCACAAAAAGATAGACAATTAAGAAATAATGTCATGC